CTTACGTTCAGATTCATTCATATTAAAATCGAAATAACACCATATACTCATCTAAATTGCGTAATAATTCCATCGTTGTTCCATTCGCAACATATTTTTGCAATAACATGTCATTTGGATTAGCTTAGAACAAATTGATATGATAGCGGTTGTTCACAATGAGTTTAAATTTTTATCATAAAATTATGTTGATGCGAGAGTTACTGTAACATAGAGTGATACAGGAAGTAACACAAGGGGTTTCTTTACGAGAAAATATTACTATAAGATCTTTTAGATGCACTTACAAGTTTCACCTAAAACAACCTTTCTACCCTCAATTGTTCATGGATCTAATACATGTTCCAAGAACCTCTCAAACAAACCTTTAGCCCCTTTGATCAGGATCTCTTACAAGACAACTCTAAATCTTTTTTTTTTTGCTAAAAACTCTTTGAATACATGGGTTGACGTCTACAAACGCCGTGACTCACTATCTATACACAAACGTCACTATGGCTAAACCTAGCCTTGGCCTCCAGGTTGAGAAGATACTCAATCTTCAACAATATCACCTCTTTTCTTATTCTTAGGCAAGACATAAGGAAATCTTCAACTTAACTACAACTCTTGACACGTCCATATTAGCTTGAATATAGCCTGGTCCAAACACATCTCTTCAAGCCCACTTTGTTTGATGCTCAATCTTGTCTGCTTGTATCACTTCAAGTAACACTTTGCAACTAGTACATGAACTGCTTCAATCCCAAATTTCTTTCTTCATAATATTTCAGATGTTTTATCGCCAGCTTCTCAACTTCGTAATATTGAATTCTAAAACTCATTCAAAGATTAAACATATAAATCTCATATCTTATCATTAGAATAAGTGAGGGTTACGAAATAAAAATTATATGAAAAATAATTAAAAACTCATTAAAAAATTACACTGATTTGTAAAAAGTTATGGGGTGCTCGAGCCCCCGTCCTTCATAGAAGTGCATCTACGTTAGCCCTCACGGTTTTTCAGAGAGTTCCAATTTGGACAATGCAACCACAACGGTTTTTTCTTCTTCTTGTTCGGTTTGCAAGGCTGGTTCTGGTTCGGGTTCTGCAATGAAGAGACTAGAAGGCTCCAAAGACTTTTTGGCTGCAGCTTCTTTTGCAGCAACAGCTCTTTGAACTTCTTCTCTTCTTTTGGTCACTACTCTTTGAGCTTCTTCCATGTAGCTATACATTGTAGCTGTTTGAGCTTCTTCTGCACATATGGATCTGTAACATTTAGAACATAGATCCATGTTTGATGGTGATCCAAAGAAACCACATGCCATTGCACATAGCTTTGGCTTTGAAGATTGCGTGAAGCTTGTACTATTGTTTTGTTCAGACCCCATTATCGATTCTGTAAAAATAAAATATATATAGAAATCAAAAATTTTAAAAATTCGAAATAAAATTCAATCCAAGACCAGCAATAATATTAACAACAAGAAAGAAAAAAAAAATAACAAATCCACAAATCCAAACGAAAATTGGAAAACTTGTGTAATTAATTACAAAAGAAAAATCATCGATTACAAGTAGATCTGAGTTTTAGATACACATATCCTAACAAAGCACAAAAAAAGCCTTGTACAAGAAATCCAAACAAATGAACATATTATGAATCAAATAATCAGACAAGGAAGAACAAAAAAAAGGAGAATCTTACCTTTTAGAAGAGAGATTTTCTGGTTTTTTTTTTGAAAATTTATCTACAAAATGCACTTCTGAATCTTCGGAAGAAAATCTTTGTTAGATGTGTATATTTGATAAGAAATTCACAGAATCGAAGAAATAGGAAAGCCAAACAAACACATATCTGTGGAAGATATTTATACTTTTTTGTTTATGCAGGTGTGATGTTCCTCTACATACGCGTTACTGTACACCTTAGAAATATCAGCCGTAAGATTCTTAACCGACCTTGCTGTTTCATCATCGGGCGGTTTATTTGAAGGACTGTATTTATTGCGTAATGTCTCTAAATTTATGAGGTCAAAATTGTATTTTTCAAGCCTAACGTAACCTTTTATATTTMATTCTCTCTCTATTGTCTCTTTCTCTAAAACTCAACAAAGCACTCATTCTCTTCAGATCAGATCTGATATAGTTTCCGTTTTAACGGATTTTTTTATTGTATAATATTTCCATTTAGCGGATCAAGGTTTTCGACTTTGGTCGGATTTTGGGTTTCCGATTATAATCGGAAAGTGTTTTAGCTCCGATTTGGATTTCTATGTTAGATATGAGTTTGTTGGTGTCGGAAATTTTTATTTTACTTCCTACTAGATTTTGACCCACGCCAAGTGTGGGATTAAAAAATAGATTAAATATATTTTTTGATCGATTTTAATATTTAGATGGGTATTTCAATATTTATAAACGTACAAAAATTATATGTATTTTACATAAATGTCATAAAATTAAATTTTGATCAAGCATACTTTGATGTTATATTCTTTGATCAATTTTGCATAAAGTATTAAAACTAATGCAATTGTTATTTATTTCAATTTATCTCAAGTGTAAAATTAATTTTTATTATTTATGTAAATTATAGCATACGATAAATCAAATAAATTTTAGATTTATATGAATTTTTCGGACATAATAAACGAAAATATATGTTTTTCAATAATGAAAATAAAAATATTTGTAAATGTAGTTGTCGTTTATAAATAAATCATATTGTTACAAATATAATAATAAAAACTTCTTAATTTATCAATTTTTAAAAATTATAGATCATATGGTAAGTCTAAATATTACATTTAGTAAAACTTAAATATGCAAAATATGTATTACTGGGTTTATATTATAAAATTAATAAAAAAAATGTAGAGATTTCCATCATAACATATGATTTGAATTGAAATATTTTCATTGATTAATTTAAATGACATGTTTCTTAAAATCTTCATTGAATGACATATATGATTTTTTTACCAAATATCTACTCAATTAATATATAGAGGATTAGTGAC